CTGCTGAAACTTCAAAGAATGTTATTGAAAATAGCTGGGATAATAGAACAGTCAAATGTGAAAGACAGAGAGTTGAAGTTAAAGTGGTAGAAGATAAAAAATTGATCCTGAGGTATTTCTGCCGCAGGAAAATACTGGGGAGCAAGCCCTAGAGAAGGAAACCTAAATTATTCTACTTAAAATTTGAAAGATAATAATAAACTTCAGTCTATAATTTTAAGAAAGACTTACAGAATGACCCAGGAAATTATTGACCTGTTAGGAAATCTAAAGGAAACTACAGACCAATTAACTACCAAAGAAACTGATAAAAATTATCATTGCATTTAGAATAATCTGGAATATCATCAGTTTAATAGGTCTAGGTAGCGTGGCTTCTGCAAACCAAAAGCTAGTACCACTAATTTATTAGAATTTATAAACATGTTAATAAAGTATAGGATAAAGAATAACCACTTGATAAACAGTAACATATTTATCAATACAATAAACAAGGCTCAGAGTTATTATAAATGCCTCATTATTGACTATGACTTCTTTTATACTAGGTATGCCAAAACCAGAAAATACAGAGGACACTTCTGAAATCCAGAAACATCTTCTCTTTAAATTGGTATGAGTGTTTTTCCAAAGGTGATGTGGAGAACTAGTGATGGAGGTCAAGATAGAAATTAAGAGAAACAAAAGATTAAGTTGAAACTGATTCCTGCGGTGCACGTGTTAAAAGTTCTTACAAGTTTGTTTTTTGGTCATTCCTGACTTTTTAGGAAGAGAAGGAGTTGGTGTTCTCATGTTATCCTCTACAACTTCTGTCACCACTACAGTGCCGGAATTATTTAATGAGAATATTTCAGGATCCAAAATACTGTAACTGCAGAATGGGAGAAAAAGAAGAAAGCACAAAAAAAACCCAGATATGATATTAAAAACAATTTTGATATACACACAAAATTCAGCTTCTCAAAAGTGAGTTTTGATTACTTTCCAGCAGCTTTAGGAATCAGAAATAATGAATGATAGCCAAAAGTTACAAGGAACTAAAAAATAGCACAATATCATATATTTCAGAACTTTCTTCTGATCAGTCAAGTGAGCAACCAAAAATTTGCATGTCACCTGCCATGTGATGGAAAGCAAAACTTGTTACATAGTAAATCAATTTGCATTTGGAAGCTGAACTGTTCATATGACAAACTGACTGATGATACCGTAATTCAGATCTGTTTGCATTAATGGCAATAACACAATAATCTATATCAATAGCAATCACTGATAATGTAGTAAGATATACCTGTCCAGATGCTGTGAACCACAAATTCCAATGTTATATTGCTCTTCCAGTTTCTTTTTAAATAAGTTGTAGTGTGCAACTGCCAGATAAATATTCATCTGAGACCTCCAGGGCATCTCTTCAAGACACATTTGATGAAACTTCTTTCGGTTTAAGTAATTACTCACAATTGGTTTCAGCAGTACCACTAAGGTGTGGCGAGCTACTTTTTGCACCTCTTCTTTGCATTTCCTAAACCAAAGTATATGAAGTAGCAAAAAATGAAACTGTGTTTTCCTGAAGCTCTAGGAAAGAAAATCATGGTAAAAATACACAGAAGTATCCCGTTGCATATCCACAGACTTGTATTAACTCAGAAGCATATGACATATTTCTAGCAAAAGGGTTTTTGCTGCAGTCAAGAAAAGCAATTGTGCTTTCCCTCTCTAAGTGCACTTAACACACACTAAATCCTATCTTATATTTTAGCAACTTCCAGAAGATATTTGTCTTAGTACTTACAAAAAGTTATTTGTACCTGAATCATCCAAATAGATTATTATAGCAAACACGATGTGTTTCACACTGTTCAAGAGATGGAGAGTCTACTGTTGTACTATAAATTTGGATTGTTCTTTTTATTGCTGTGTTCTGGTAGCTAATCATCCTCAATGTGAAGAAAACATTTTATTCCTAATTTGGATGCCTGGCTTTAATTTCCAGCCATAGATTTTTTTTTATGTTTCTCTGCCAGATCAAACAATTCTGTATTATCTGGTACACATACAATGCTGTAGTCAAATAAAATCTCATTTTTTCCTTTTTATAAACTGTAAACTGATCCCTTTATCAATCTAAATGATTTTTCTGCCTGTTTTCCACCTTTAAAATGTGAACAGAACTGTATACCATATACAATGTTGATTATATTATACATCAGTATTATTATGTAAGGTACAAAAGAGTAGCTGAAAAAGCAAAAAGCCCCGGATAAGTTAAACATCCCCTCTTTCACTGAAAGCCCTGAAAATCATGTTAAGTAAGGTGGTTTTTTTCTGTTGAGGAGTCAAAATGGATGGTTTAGGTAAATGTTTAGAAGAGTGTATGGAAGACTTTTCTGAGGTTCTTTATTTAAACCACTTCCAGAATCAGTTATATGGTTGCTTGTATTCAGATAGTTCTAGCTTTCTATTTGCTAATTGCTGGAAGCATAAGCTGACCAAAGCAACAGGTAATGAATACTAAAATTCTTTTAGGTCAGAAGGTACCGTTATTAGCGAGTTAACCAAATATATACAATTATCTGCAAAAAGAAGGGTGAATAAATTTTTGTTTCTGTCAAGAAACAGCTTCTGAAAGCTACAGAACAGACAATCCAAAAAGACTAGCAAAAGGATGACAAAAATCACTCTGAAACTACCTGAACATCAGGAACATTCTTTACTAGATTTTTAAGAGGTAACCTCCCCAACACAGTTTGAAAAGCATTATAGTATGTAGATTACCATAGCTTTTCCACCATGATGAATCAACACGCTCAAGTTAACACAACTGAAATACAGTCTTTGATCATTAATACAACAACAGGTATTCTCTGAAATAGAAATGAGATAGATTTTGTTCTCTTGAGCAGAAGCCAATTTTATACCAAGCTAAATCAGAAAAGTGGGTGGACTGTGCACAAATTCATCCCTTTGATAGAAGAAATTTTTAAAATATGCACTTAATTGTAAACTAAATTTCAGTCAAAATATTTTGGTTCTGTATATGAACCTGACAGCTTATGTTCATTTACCTTTGTGCTTCTGGGGATTCCATTATGTTTGGATGTTTCATGAAATACTGTCTAAGAGTCTGTTTTTTTCGAATAGGACTCAAGGCTTCTTTTCTTGGTTTCTTCAAAGTTGATGTCTCTGGTTTCTTTAAAGGTGAGGTCTCCATACTCTTTAAAAAAATCTTCCATGAAAATCTTAAATATAGTTCAAATACTTATTTATACCTACATTATCAATTACTTGAGGTATACAGCAGTTTGGCTTATGCAGGAACAGAACAGAACAGAACAGAACAGAAGATAAATTCTGGAACTCTTCATCAAAATAAGACAGAAAAAAAAAAAAAATTAATATTCCAGAAAGCTTTACAATTTTTCTGGAAGGTATATGTCAAATGTCTGACACAAAGAAGCCAGCCAGGTCCCCAGATATTTTCTTTCATATACCAGTGTTCTTCATCTCAAAAATACTCATAGTTCTTTTCCTATTATTATAAATAGTAAAAATTTACAATGCAAAAACTGAGACAGAAAACCCTTTCCCTAATCTATCTCAGATGTTAGCAGTATTACAGCATTACTGGAGGGTTATGAGTGAGAAAACTCTTCCTCCAAAATAATACAAATCCATTAAGATTATTCTTACCTTCCAATAAAAGCAAAAATTTACTTTAAAATAATTCTGAACAAAAAGCCTTTATTGTGCAACTGGAGTATCTGCACAAGGAATTAATCATGAACAACTACTCATGAAAATTTGTAAGTACAACATATTGTACAAAAAGGCCTAAACTGATCTCCTTTTCTTAACATGATGGTACCCAAGGCATTTCCAATTAACATATTCGGTTTTTTAAAGGGAGCTGATGAAGGGCAAGTTTTTGTTGATTTTGGAATGCATTACTCTGACTCATCTCAAGTTCCTCACAATTGTTGGTCTTTCAGATAAATCCCATGTCAACTTTTCTTCTTGGTTTTATGAGTACAGAGGTGAACTAAGGACTAGAGTTTGTATCCCAAATTTTAGTAATTATGGATGTCTCTAGCTGAGGTGTTTATGAGATGGCTTTTAAAAATTTATTTTTGTGCTTATGGTATTGCTGCCCAGTAAAGACAAACATGACTCCTTAAATATAAAACTAACTTTCTGAAACTCCACAACTCCTGCAGTGTATCTATCCATGCCTTCTGGCAGAGTGGGAGAACATGTTTCTTGTCTTGAAATTCCATTGATACAGAGAAGGTGGTCATTCCTCCTGACAAACAAAATGTTAAAATCAACATCATCATCATCATCATCATTATCATCATCATCATCATCATGATGTTAAACTCCTTTCATAGTTAAAGGGTTATCTCTGGGATCATGTAGAGCACATGCAATTCTTATTTCATTGGGAGTTTTAAATTCAGCAGGTTTTCGTTCCTTCTTCCTCTTCAGAAAATAGTGTTCACCTTCAAGGTTGATTATAGAAATCTGAATTTATAGGTAATAACTCTCTCACCTTCCTAACTCATAGTAAAACAAAACAGTTTGCTTCATTACCCAGCAAAGAACTTCTTCATGTCCAATTTTTTTGGTCTTTTGTAACAGCAATTCCTTTTCCCTATAATATATCTCCTTTTAATTGATTATTTGCCTTTCAAATTTTAGAAATACTGGTGTGTGGTTTTAATAAAGTTATAGTTAAATTTCTTTGGGATCCTTTTAGGTAAGCGTCTACAATTTCGTTCTACTTATCTTTTCAGTATAGAAATTTTTTTACACACTACAGTAGGCCCTGATCAGTTTGCTTTTGATTTAACCCAACATACTTTTCTAAGGTATCCCACTGCCTCATAATAATATCACAAATGGCCATATTACCAAGTGGTGTCTGTAAAAACAAAAATCCTGGAAATTGCTGATGGTAGACAGGAGTTTTGAACAGACACAGCCAAGGGAGAAGTCTCCATGTATAACGAGGTCACAAGACAATATTTTCTGTAGCTATATAATCCTCTGTGTTCATGGAACTTCTGCAGACTAGGAGCCATGGAAATGCCTCCAGATGGGTCTTCTACTAGGTACAATTTACAGTTTCCACTGTAACTGTGACACTGGTGAACCTAAGTAGTAGTTTTTCACTACTACTATAATAGAGATCTACCTTTTCAAGTAAACATGCACATTGCCTGCCCATTCCAGAACGCATTGGAACTTCTCTTCATTCAGAATTCTGTGCAAAACTTGAACAAAGAATTCAAGAAAACGTGATTTCTTTCTGAATTTCATCACTGCAATGAAGTAAAAAATAATTAACACAGTTTTTGTATTTATGGTGTAACGGGTTTCTGAATTCAGCTACAATTACAGCTATGTATGTCTCAAAGCACATATTTATGTCATGTTGCATGCTGATGAAGAAAAAGCATACTGATACTAAAATCAGATAGGTCATGATACACAATAGCAGTTGCTAAATACTTCTTGTGACTGGGCATCCAGAATCACAAGTTCACTCTATTTACACTCCTAGAATGACAAACATTCTAGGGACTGAGAAAATAGGTTTGAAACTATTTTTGTATCATGTACTACATAGTGCAAAAATATTTTATAACGATATTCAACATGCTTTTTAATTGCTTCCAAGCTGCTTTTACTGTTTGGCTGTCTTCATAATTTTTTACCATCAAGAAATAAATATCTATCCTATCTGAAAGCTATACTAATTTTACAGGCTAGGCTCCATTGTTATTTTGAACACCAATACTAAAAAAAATAAGGCAGTGGCAAAGGCCACATACCAGAATCTTAAATCCTATTTCAAAAACACAAGTGTACTCAGACTTTTGTGAATTCCTCTTTCAGTAACATAATTTAGTGTGGAAATCATAGAATCATAGAATGCTTTGGCCTGGAAGGGACCTTTAGAGATCATCTAGCCCAACCCTCCTGCAGTGAGCAGAGACAGCTTTAACTCGATCAGGTTGCTCAGAGCCCCATCCTACGTGACCTTGAATGTTTCCAGGGATGGGACCTCACTACCTCTCTGGGCAACCTGTTCCAGTGCAGTATCTCAATGGGGTATCTCAATTTAGAAAGAACATTCCACACAAACAGAATCTTTGAAAACTTGACACAACTTAAAAAAATTAGCTCATTTTTAAGGTTATTAGAAAATAAACATTATTCAAATTATTTAAAATATTAATATTTTATATATTTAACAACAACATCTAAAATAGTTTGTTACAAGTATTTCATATCCTTCTAAATGTGACTATATTAAGAACTTTTTTTAAGCTATGTTTTACCTGATTTTGTATATTTGAGAACAAAATTTAGAGAAAGTTTCAAAGAGTTTATTCCAAGCAGGAAGTAGACAGCTTTACTGGCAACTTTCTGAAGTAAAGAAGCCTTTACAATTAAAATAAACACCCATTATCCTACCTTCTCGATAAGCGTTGTTTGATGTCCAACATGAAATTACAGGGTAGAGGAACAAAGGATCTTCCTGTCCTGTAAGCTCTGATCCACGAGCTACATCAATAACCAAATCAAATTCATTATGACAAGTGTGATAGTGTACAATAGAAACGCTACCTGGAATCATAACTGAAGACTAGAAAAATCTTTCTCTAGCACAGAGTTTGATCTTAAATCTCACTGTCATCCAGAGAGAAATTCAAAACTGTTCTTTTCTTCTAACATAAGTAGCTGTGCCACTTAAATAATGAAGAGCTTATGGATGTGACTGATGAACTTCCAGCACTAGACTAATGAGCAGAATGTCTGGAGTTCATCAGAGGCCTAACAAAGGTCCATACAAATCATCTGTGGAGGAGGATGCACAGTAAGGACATGTCCAAAAATGTAATTAAAGCTATACAGCATGAACTGAACACATGATGCTACTAGTGACTAGTGCTAACATACATGCTCAGCATATGGATAGCATAAGTAAGTAAAAGAATTTTTTTTTTCCCTTCACCTAAATATTTATATAAACATATGTATACAAATGTATTTCTATTCTATAAATAATATATTAGAAATAGGTGTAAATAATCTATACAATATAGAGATATAAATAGTATATATAATATATAGGAGAACAGTAGCTTGGATTTAAGCTTCTGAGAGTTAAACACAACTGCGTTACCAGCTGATGAGCACCAGAACAATGTTATATGTACTAGTTGCTATTTTGCCTTAATAAAGAAACACGACCTACAAATTTTGTGCTTAGGCAAGTTTTGTGGTTGAAAAAGGTGAATGCAGCTAGTCCCTGAAAAAAGCAAGGTTAAAAATGCACTCTGGAGCAACCAGTTGTGATAGTGGATCAATAGCTACATCCTCCAGTGCTAGCAGTCAGTTGAAGTCTGTTGAACGCAGATCATGTCCTATTAAATAGGACAGCCAGCAGGACAAGCAGATTTTTTATTTTCCTTTTAGGACAAGTCACACCCTTTAGTAGTACTCTCTCCTATTTGTCAAGTTCAAAAATATATTGCTTCAAATGAGCATTTTCACAAAGAATACTACCTCCCAAAAATTTTTAAATGGGAAAACATTTGAAATTTCAGAATTTAAGTTGTACTGTGTATGAAATATTTCGGTTTTCTCAGTTACTTATGAAAGAGGCAGATTCAGCTCTTTTTCATTTTTCTCGTAGACTATCATCAATGGAATGCTAAGTGTTGATCTACTTTTAAGGATTTCCTATGACAAGGTTTTTTCCAAAATATTTTTAACAGCATGCCCTACAGGTGTGCACATTGTCCTAAACTACTTATAGGTATTTATAAGGACAGCTGTAAGCTTTGTTATTTGTTTTGCATGGCCTCAGCAAGACTCCAATTTGTATCCTGAAACTTACTGACGAATATGCTATTTCAGCAAGAGCAGACTTCAGCCATCAAGTATTTGCCAGTTACTGAAAATGTGTACTTCTCTAACTGATCAGCCCATTAATTTAACTTTCTATTAAGTAAGAATGGAACATCTTTTTAAGTAATCAATGTAATTCTCAATTAACTTACAGAATTCATTCATTGTGTCAGGAATGCAAGCACCAATGTCAGCAGCAAAAAATGAAGGATCAGTGCACAGATGAATGGAATTTTTGCATCACTGTTTATCCTGTTTATTACAGAAATGCTTTCTCTTCTAAGACAAATG